TAAAGCGACTACAAAGATCAGCTCGTGAGGACTATAGAACCTTCGTTGGAGATGAGATGAAGAACATGGTATCAGCGGCAACAAGAGGGGACCAAATTGGTTTGGATTGGTCCGACCGATCCAAGCTCCACCGCTAGGCCAGGAGACTGGGTTGCGAGTGAGGGGGCAACCGTGATATTGCACCAGATAAACACGGGCGACCCTTAACGTGTGAACAAGATGGACTTGAACCATGGGTAGGGCGCTTAAGGGAGAAATTCGACTCTGCAAGCTCGGAAGTACCCGAACCCATTAGGATTGGAGACCCTCCGAGTGATGATATAGTGGAGAATCTGTGTAGAGTCCCAGATCAGGAAGAGGTTAATTTTGTATTTGCGGAGAGAGCGGAGCATACACCGCATCAACAGGCACTTTCGCGTTGTGCGTGCGTACATGCGTGCGTGCGTGCAGAGTTATTCTGGGACCTATTTCACAAGGATTTCTGACCTAAGGCGCCTTGAGGTGCACCTTGCGTTTAGGTGCAACTAGTGCCTCGGCGAGGCTCGGTGATTCCCTGATTCTCGAAAATACTCAGAGGAATCACCCGAAAAATCAGCCTCATGAGCAAGGCATATTGAGTAGGAGTATTAATCGGCCAAAAAATCAACTTTAGATTCTCGAATCAGCTCAGAGATCCACATATCCTCGCGATGATCCTGATTTCTCGCTCCAGAGTAAAAACTCAGTGAATCAGGGGTTAATACTCACCATCTGATTTTTTCATCTGAGTAAATACTCGGACTCACCTGTTGCATCAGGATTTGCAGGATACGGCCCCTGCGCGGCTCCAGCAGAGGCGCTCGTCGGAATAACTCGATGTTTTGATGGCTGGAAGCCACAGACATCTTCTGTCTTCTTCTAGTCCATCAGACCCACGCTCCCAGGAGTGGGATATTTAATGACGCATCGGATATTGGCATGCGGTTGGCCAGAAATAAAAGTCGGAAACGACATGACCGGTGGGAAATATTGTATTAATATTTTTATCTTATTGTTATATCCTCATCCATTATCTTGTTCTTTTGTGATGGCTTCTCCTGTATCTAACAAGAAGCTAAGAATAAAGATAGATAGTGAATATAGATATGGTGATAGTCGAGGATGGAGTCGTAGTGGTAGCATTATACAAGATGGGAGATATGTTTTAACACCAACCTTCACTATACCTACCAGTAGATGTGGTAATACTATCATCATATTGCGATTATTCTTTTATCATACCTCTCAGCTCCTATACGATTAACCTTCGATGATATACAAGAGTTATTGACGACTAATGATAACGAAGGTAGAATAGTATCATAGTAAGTAGTTGTTAAAGTTGTATATATTCGTGATATTACAAATGTAGTTATATTGGTGACTTATTGTGTATCCTACCCGTATTAGAGGCATATACAGGCAATGATGGTAGATCTCTATTGAAAGTAATAATATCTTAACAAGGCATCTTACAAGAAGAATAAGTATGTTAGGTACCACCAGAATACATGATTATGATATCTATGGAGAGGCATCATAGTACAATATCGACGAGGAATAGAGTAGATAGTGGTAGTAGTACTTATACTGGTGATAAGGATAAAGGTTTGATCATCGATTCTGGATCGGGACGTGTTCGAATACATCCTCATACTTACGCTAGAATAGTTAATGCCATACATGATGATGTTGATATGATGGTTATGTTATCAGAGAATGTAATAATGCAAGATTGATAATTATGATGATAGTAGTTGTATGAGCAGTTACCTGTGCATGGTAAGGAGATAGTAGTTGGTAAAAGGAGGTTAGCCAGGACTAAGGAATGTCATGATGAGTGGAAGGATAAGTAATAAGAATAGTAATACTGTGATATTATATGTATTATGCTTATACAGGTTCATACAAGCATTAGATGATAGTTCAAAGGTAGATGGTCGTATATTCGATAACTGTCAAGGTTGGAAGGTAAAAGGCATCATCATTATCATGAATTGTAGGAGTATAAGTGGTATATATTAGGATCCCGAATATCGTCGAAAATATAATGATGATAATAATAATAATAAATGGATAGGTGGTTTATCCTCCCTAAATGGGAGGAGTAATGATATAACCCCTCACCAGAGATGTCTACTTATACAGGCTTCAACACAAAAAGATGATCATGAGCGTCATGAGCATCATGATGCTCGTGATCATGGTTATGACCATATACGATGTAATAATATCACTACTACTACCGTATATCGTCATATTAAGCATGGTATTTAGGCATGCCACTCACTCTGAGGAGGCCCCTTATCAATGGTGATGATAATAATAGATCTATAGAATCCAGCATGATACTTAGTCCTTCTTGTTGCTGTAAGGCATGTTATCAGGCTTATACGATCATACGAGGTCATCATCATCATCAGCAAGGTGATGATGATCATGATAATGGTGGTAATATAAGATAAGATAAACATATAGGTAGCACAATGATCAGATATCTCAATAAATAATGAGTTCCCATCATCAACACCATCATTACCTAAGTATTGTTATTGTTGTTCTTTACATGAGATATTACATGCTATATACTGCGGTATTGATGTTATTGATACATCATTCATATTCGATATGGCGGATGAAGGGCTTATGTTGAATTGGACTATAATAGGTCATATGCTACTACATACATTGCTATACCTCCTATCATATAATACTATTAGATCCAAACACTATTCATGATGATGATGATGATGATGATGATAGAAGTATGATACTTGAAGAAGATGATAAGTGGAGGGAACTTAAGCCATCATGGTAGTATCCATCATGTGACTATCATCATCATCATCAATGTTGTTGTTGTTGTTAGTATACTAAGAGTACGATATGATACAGCTATGGTTGGTAGAGATTACGATAAAGTACTCATGGATGATGGTATTACTAAGGATGATGATCATGATCATTGCCACTACACGTTATCCTATGTAATATCATACATAGGATCATCATACTACTCATTATTAGATATGTTACTACTACTACTACTGAATATGGACTTAATATTACATATTCATTTAGGTACATCATTTATATGCTTGTGGTGAGTTATTGGGTCCTCAACTTGTCTCTCGTAATAATATGCTTATGCTTGATCGCTTATATAAAGCAGCACGAGAAGCTATTCAATCACATAAATATATACATTGGGTTAATAAGATGTTAAGTAGTAATACTTATTAGTACCTCTCATTACTGGGGTCTATCGATTAACTGTTGTTCTTGCTTCTTATCATTACCATCATCATAATATAGTATTCTCGTTAAGCATGGTATTAGTAATATTGAGGGTATACCAGTGTTGTCATTAATAATGGATAATCCCGACTTTGATGA